CAATGGAATTATTCTATTATGACAAATTCCCTAGGAGGTCTGATAAGAAATTCCCAGGATTTTCTGGAGAGCACTCCAAAGGAAGTTCTAACTTGAATTTCAAGATGATTCTGAGGAGCATTCCAAAAAAATTGTGACAAGAGTCTCAAGGAGAATTCTACATAAGTTCTCAGTAAAATTCCATGGTGATTCTAAGGAGAATTCTATAACGATTGCGGAGATAATTCCAGGTTCATTTTAAGAAGAATTCCAAGGGAAGTCTGCTGAGAATGCAAAGGGAATTCAGAAGATAATTTCAATGGAAAACTCAGAAGAATTCCAAGTTAATTATGAAGATAGCTTTAAAGGAATTCTGAGAAGAATTCCAAAAGAATTCGAACTATGCAAAGACATCCTTTGAAATTCTCCTCAGATTTCTCCTCTGAATTTCCATGGAACTCTCCGCAAAATGTCCTTGGAGCAATTCTGATGATAGTTCCAAGGGAATTTTGTGGAGAGTTTTGAGGAAATTAAGTGCAGAAATCTGATACGCATTTCAAACGATTTATTTAGAGAATTCTGAGCAGAGTTTCAAGGAAATTTGAATTCTCCAAGGAAATTTGAATTCTCCTCTGAATCCTCTGAATTTCCATGGAATTCTCCGCAAAATTCCATTGAAACAATTCTGATAGGATAGTTTCGAAATTCAGAAGAGAATTTCAAATGATACCTTTCCAAAGACATCCTTTAAAATTCTCCGCAAAATTTTCTTGGAACTATCATTTGAAATTTTCCTCTGAATTCCCATAGAACTCTCCGCAAAATATCCTTGGAGCATTTCTGAGGATATTTCCAAGGAAATGTTGCGGAGAGTTTTGTGGAAATTAAGTGCAAAATTCTGATACGCATTATAAAGGAATTATTTGGAGAATTCTGACCAGAGCTCCAAGGAAATTCTGAGAAGAATTCCAAGGAAATTTGAGTTCTCCCCAGAATTATCCTCTGAATTTCCATGAAATTCTACGCAACTGGAACAATTCTGAGGATTACTTTCCAAAGACATCCTTTAAAATTCTCCGCAAAATTATCTTGGAGCTATCATCAAAAATCTTTTGAAATTTGTTCTGAATTTCCATGGAACTCTCAGTGAAATTCACTAGGAACAATTCTGCGGAGATTTTCTCTGAAATACCGAGGAGAATTTCAAAGAATTTCTTTGGATAATTCTGAGAAGAATTCCAAGAGAATTTCAAATCTTCAAAGAAATCTTTTGAAATTCGCGTCAGTGTTCTCCTCAAAATATCCATGGAACTCTCCACAAAATTCCCTTGGAACAATACTGAGGATAGTTACAAGGAAATTTTGCGGATAATTTCAACGAAATCCAGAGGAGAATTTCAAATTATTTCTTTGGAGAATTCTGAACAGAGTTCCAAGGAAATTCTGACAAAAATTCCAAAAATTCCAAAAATACGCATTTCAAAGGATTTCAGTGGAGAATTCTGAACAGACTTCCAAGGAAATTCTGAGAAAAATTCCAAAGAAATTTGAGTTCTCCAAAGAAAGTCTTTGAAATTCTCCCCGGAATTATCCTCTGAATTTCCATGGAATTCTCAGCAAAATTTCCTTGGAACAATTCTGAGGATAGTTTCAATGGTATTTTGGGGATAATTTCACCGAAATTCAGAAGAGAATTTCGAAGAATTACTTTACCAAGGTATCCTTAGAAATTCTCCACAAAATTTTCATGGAACTATCCTCAAAAATCATTTGAAATTTGCTCTGAATTTCCATGGAACTCTCCGCAAAATGTCCTTGGAGCAATTCTGAGGATAGTTCCAAGGGAATGTTGGGGAGAGTTTTGAGAAAATTAAGTGCAAAATTCTGATACGCATTTCAACGGATTTCTTTGGAGAGTTCTGAGCAGAGTTCCAAGAAAATTCTGAGAAGAATTACAAGGAAATTTGAGTTCTCCAAAGAAATCATTTGAAATTCTCCCGAGAATTATCCTCTGAATTTCCATGGAAATCTTCGCACAATTCCCTTGGCACAATTCTGAGGATAGTTTAAATGGTATTTTGGGGTTAATTTCACCGAAATTCAGAAGAGAATTTCGAAGAATTACTTTACAAAGGCATCCTTAGAAATTCTCCGCAAAATTTTCTTGGAACTATCCTCAAAAATCATATGAAATTTGCTCTGGATTTTCTTGGAACTCTCCGTAAAATACCCTTGGAACAATTCCACTGAGATTTTCTCTGAAATTCCGAGGAGAAGTTCAAAGAATTACATTGGAGAATTCTGATAAGAATTCCAATGGAATTTCAATTTTCAACGAAATATCCATGGAACTCTCCACAAAATTCCCTTGGAACAATACTGAGGATAGTTCCCAGGGAGTTTTTCGGTAAATTTCAACGAAATTCAGAGGAGAATTTCAAATTATTTCTTTGGAGGATTCTAAACAGAGTTCCAAGGAAATTCTGAGAAGAATTCCAAGGAAATTTGAGTCCTCAAAAGAAATCGCAAAATTCCCTTGGCACAATTCTGAGGATAGTTTCAATGGTATTTTGGGGAGAATTTCAACGAAATTCAGAGGAGAATTTCGAAGGATTGCTTTCCAAAGACATCCTTTAAAATTCTGAGCAAAATTTACTTGGAATTGTCCTCAAAAATCATTTGAAAATTGCTCTGAATTTCCTTGGAAAGGGAGGGGGAGTTTTTCGGTAAATTTCAACGGAGCTCTCCAAAGAAATTCTTTGAAATTCTCCCCAGAATTATCCTCTGAATTTCCATGGAATTATCCGCAAAATTCCCTTGGCACAATTCTGAGGATAGTTTCAATGGTATTTTGGGGAGAATTTCAACGAAATTCAGAGGAGAATTTCGAAGGATTACTTTCCAAAGAACTATTTCTTGGAACTATTCTCAAATTTGAAATTTGAAATTTGCTCTGAATTTCCTTGAAACTCTCCACAAAATTCCCTTGGAACAATACTGAGGAAAGTTACTAGGCAATTTTTCGGAGAATTTCAACAAAATTCAGAGGAGAATTTCAAATTAGTACTTTGGAGGATTCTGAACAGAGTTCCAGGGAAAATCTTATAAGAATTCCAAGAGAATTTGAATTCTCCGAAGAAATCCTTCAAAATTCTCCTTAGAATTCTGCTCTGAATTTCCTTGGAACTCCCTGCAAAATACCCTTGGAATATCCTCAAAATTTCTTGAAGGGAATTTTGCGGAGAATGGAATGGAAATTCAGAGCAAAATTTCAAATGATTTCTGAGGTTCAGGTCCTTGGAACTCTCCGCAAAAATCCCTTGGAGCAATTTTGATAGTTGAATGGGTATTTTGCGAAGAATTTCAAGGAAGTTTAAAGAAGAATTTCAAAGAACTTTAAGAAAACTGCAGGAGCTTTAAAAAAGTTTCGACAAACTAAGGGAATTTCTGACAATTTCAAGGAACTCCAGACAACTCCCGAAAAGTATTAAGGGTAGTTTCGATGACTTTAGGAAAGTTACGACATTTTTAGGGAGAAATCCGTATAAGAAAATATATACTAAACAATCAGGGTAGTTCCAAGGACGTACCGAAAGCATCTGGAAGTTGGAAGATATTTAAAGATTAATTCCGATAGCTTCAGGATAATTCCATAGACTCCATGAAATTTCAGAGAACTTCAGTTAAACATATAAGAGAACTTAAGGGAAATTCCAGCGGCGCCGGTGGTGTAGTGGTAAACGTGATTGCCTCTCACCCCAAAAGGCATGGGTTCAATCTCAGTCGGCGCCGCCGGGATGTTCTGAGGCATAACATCTCTGATCGCGTCTTCCTTCTGAAGCCGTTGGTCCCCGGTTCATGAGTTGATGGGTCTATAGATAGGGTCCAGGTGTGGGAGTTGTCTTCCTGGCGTCGGTAGCATTGTCAGTACGGAAAACAAGATCGACGGAAAACAAACCAAAGAAGAAAAAAAAGGGAAATTCCATAAAGTTCATGAAAACAGCAAACCTTCAAGAAGCTCCTAGAATTTTAGGAAAGTCCAGAAAACTTCAAGGGAGTTTAGAGCAGTTCCGAGAATTTCAGGGCAGTTCCATAAACGCCAGGAGCATTGCGGAAAATTCACGGATAGCTTAGAGATCTTTGAAGTAGTTTCAGGAGGATTGCAAGAATTTCTGAGAGCTTCAGGGAAGGGGAGAGAATTTCAGTGCAATTCCATTTACTTTAAGAAAGCTGCAGGGACTTTAAGAAAGTTTCGACGAATTGAGGGAATTTCTGAGAATTTCAAGGAAGCCCAGACAACTCCAGCAAAGTCTTTAGGGCAGTTTCGATATAAAAACAATCAGGGTAGTTCCAAGAACCTCAAGGCGTTCCAAAAGCTTCTGGGAGGTTGAAAGATCTTTAAATGTTGTTTCCGATTTCTTCAGGATAGTTCCAAAGATTTCATGACATTACAGAGAACTTCAGCGAAGATAAGAGAACTTCAGGTAAATTTCATAAGACTCATGAAAATTTCGAACCTTCGGGACGCCCAAAAATTTCAGGAATGTCCCGAAAACTTTAGTGTATGAGATTACATGAACTTTGGTGCAGTTCCGAGAATTTCAAGGCAATTCCATGAAAATTGCGGAAAATTCACGGAAAGCTTAAAGATCTTCTGGCAGTTTCAGGAGGATTACGAAAATTTCGGTGAAGACGCGAGAGGTCAGAGGTAGCTCTAGCCATTCTAATTCATGCACCGTGGTTTCACCGTCTGACTCTATCTGGTATTTCGGAAACATTGCATTTCCTCAACCGGAGAAGGAATATATTCTATGAATGAATGATAAATAGATGATACCTGTGTAATTTTGAGGATATTGAGAACCAGTCAACAGGATCGATTTAACGGAGCTTTAGAATAGGATAGACCATAAAATAATGATTTAAACGTTTTTTTTTTCGAATACAAAACTAAATGATCAACAACAGAACAAAACCAGCAACATAAGGAATTTCTTTCCAAACAACAAAACAAACCGAAATCAAATGAGTACAACCAAGTGCACGAACAGATAAAAATGAACTTGGTCAAACCATCGGAAAATTAATAAAACATAATTTATTGAAAAAGCCTACAATCGTTAATGCTGTAACAGAATTAAATAAACCTAAGATGTTAGTATATATGTTCACAAACATTGGCTTACGTGTAAAACTGTTGTTATTGCTTGTGTGCAGAAAATACTAGAAAAAGAAACATCAAACGAAACAATCCGATTCTGCCCGGCCCATAACCAATGGAACATCATATTTCGATTTGTGCCAACGACAACTTTTGTGCTTTTTGCATAAAATGAGATTCAAATTGTGTGTTTCCATGAAACAATAGTTCGTAAAAAAAAGATAAGTTTTAAATTTGAATTAACTTAAACAAATTTTAATCAATTACCACGCAGGTGGTGCAATTGATTTGAAAAATTTGCAAAGTTGATAATCTTAATCGCCAAATAAGCAACAATCGAGCTCGGCATGTATATCCAGCTAATTCTTCCACCGCAACGCATGGAAAACTCGCTGCTTCCGTAGACACCAACCAACCAATCAACCAAAAATGTAAATGTAACGCTAACGCTTCGAACAGTAATATGAGGAACGCTTTAAGAGGGCCCATGTGGTATGTATAACAGATTTGGTGTGTAAAAAATTCTATTGCATTTAAAGCGGTGGACCAGACGGAAGCAACTACTACTAGTCTTGCCGTCTGTCCCCTGCTCAAGGACTAAAATTAAGTACTTTCGATTTCGAGAAAAAGTCGTACAAACGTGGTCACTACACATTGTTTATACTGATACGCTGGATTCTGCTTCTACCGAACAAACTACAATATTCTAGCAATTCTTCATTGTCCCGTGGAAGCACTTTCGACTTCTAAAAAACAAAACAAACAAAAACCGAAAACTACCAAAATGGCGCAAATTGTTCACAAAATCCAACAACAATACTTTCTTGATTTCTCAAACTAGCTAAACCTAACTCTATGTGATGCGCTTGTTGGCTTGTATTTTCATAACTTTGTTTTGCTAGGTTTCCTATTTCTTCTTTCGTTATAAGATTGATTTCAAATACTTGTTCTAAACTATTGTTTTCCTTTTTTCATCTAATAAGTTTATGATTGTGTGTGTGTGTTTGAGTGATTTTCGCGTTTTTTTTTTTGTTTGTTATTCTTCTTTTCGTTAATCGGTAGTTATGAAAGGTTTAAAGAGAAGGGAGTAGGAAAATCGAACTTTGCACTGTATTTTCTAGACGTTGTTGTTTCCACTAAAAATCTGTAACAAACGAGAAGTATGGTCGTGGGGAAAACCATTTCTGTCTCCAGCTCGACTCGCGTTTCCTATCGGTAAAGATTTGTGAAGAGGAGAGGAATTTCAAGGGAACTACTAGAGAAAGAGCGAACGCCGACTGACCGCCCAACCGCGGGTGGCTGGTGGTCAGCTGCGACACTGACGACGACGACGACGATGACGACAATAACGACGGGTTCAGGAAATCTTATTTTTTGCTCCGGAATGGACTCCCGGTGCTCTCCAGCAGGGAGCTGATTTTGGACACGGCTTGCTTGGACACGGCACGGCTGGAGCTGGCATTTTCTAGTGCCTCATGCAGCAGCTTCTTGGAGGTGGCGATTTCCGTGGCACTGTAGGTCGGTGATTTGGGAGGCGGAGCGGGCAGGTGCATGTACAGGGGATCCCTTAGGCGGCGCAAGTCGTGCTCAATTTCGGCAACCTTCCGCTTGATGTCGTTGTATTCGGCCAGGTTGATGCCGGCCTTCTTGGCCGCCTTGTGCAGCGTAATCAGATGCTGCCGGTCCTTGACGTCCGGGAGGATGTATTCCTTGAAATGGGAGGGAAAGGGGTTAGATACACTCGCTATTTATGGTGAAGCTGGTGGAAATGTGTTTGCATTCGAATAAATTGAAAACAAAATAATACATTCTGTTCGATTCTGTTTCACTTTCATGTTGTCCTCATAATTCATGTTCAATTAATACCACTAGAACCTATTATTAACCACTTTTATGTTTGTTAAATCATACATCATTCAACTAAACAGATTAACCCTTTCCTCTCGGGGGCATCCCGGAGCATCCGAAAGTCGCCAATCTGGTCAATGATCCATTTGAAGTTTATGGAAAGCCTATTCAAGAAAAACCGTGCAGAAAGAGCAGTATGACATGTTTTGGTGTATAAATGAAAATGTCCCCTACTACATGTTTCTCCGGGGGCATCCCGTAGGTTCCAAGAGCGGCCAATGTGATCAATGATGCATTAAAAATCTATCGAATTCTTATTGATTAAAAATCATGAAGAAAGAGCTGTCGCACGGCATGTTTTGAGTGAATCGTTTCCAGGGAAATGGCCATATCTTGGTTGATTATAGACCGATTTTAGTTCTTGGCATATCATTCGCTTTAGTTTTTCTAGTTGTGCATACACTAGAAATGTGGATTTTAACCGACATCCTATAAAAAAGTATAAGGGTCTGTGCCTAGGGGCACGAACGGAAGCTTGACGAAGGACCGCTAGTGGACGGAACAAATATGTTGATCATTTAGTTCTTAACTCTTTCCGTTTTTGAATTGATGGTTGTTTTTCAAATGGTGACCACACCAGTGCAAGTCGATGCCGACCGGATGACGGCGGCCTAGTCATGCTTTCTATTGCGGGAAACCTTTCCACCGGTCGATGTGGGTGCTTTCGTCGTCGTCCGTCTTCGTATTGGTGCGATGCGTGCTGTTCCACTCATACGTCGTGTCCGACGCTTATCCGTCCGTTGTTCGAATGGCTCCTAGCTCAAACCGCTCGACTGCCTGACTGCAAATGATGGTGTGAGCTTGACTTTAAATGATCTTTATTTCTTAAATTTGTGTGGTTTTTAAGTGACACAGATGCGTGTTTTCAACTTTAGTTCATTTGAATATTTATAATTATTATTTAAAGTTCCTAGCTCTATCAGGCATGTTTAGAGAATGCCCCCCTTGGTGGGATTGGTTTGTTTGAAATTGGAAATAGAAGACTACGTATAACTACATTTACAAGTACAACTAACCTACGTCTACTATATACACCTAACCTACTATACACAAATTGCTTATCAAAGCATGTTCTGATATTTTGCATTTCTGCACAAACCTAGTTTTAATGACATCAATTTTAAAATCTAATTTTGGAACGTTCATGGAGGCCGATCGTTGAAGTTTGTTCGTTATTTCGCGAGACATCCTTCCTTTGACGGCTATTGCGATATCATCTGCGAACAGAAAAAAAAACACGCAACCGTCTCCGAGGGGAGGAATGTCGGAAGTGTAGATGCTGTAAAGCAAAGGGCTAAACAGACTTCCTTACGGAACACATACTGGGATGGAAAACGTGTCTGAAATGCAACCATTCAAGGTTGTTACGGGTGATTTTAACCAGCTGTAATGGGATGTTAAAATTACAAAGCTTGTACAAAAGTCCGTCATGCCAGACATTGTCAAACGGCTTTTCAACGTCCTGCAAGGCCATGGCTGTGGACTTGGATACAGTTTTATTACTTCGGATGTTATTTATCACCCGTACTAGCTGGTGATTGGTGGAGTGCCCCTTCCTGAACCCGAACTGTTCCGGAAGGAGAATGTTGTTTTCCTCAACAAACTTGAGCAAACGATTGAGAATGAGTTTCTCGAACAATTTGCTCAGCGCTTAAAAGGAGGCTGATTGGTCTGTAGCTTGGATCCTTACAGTTCCAAGCATCTGTTGAAGATAGCGTTTAGAAGAGACTGAGTTTCTTCAATATCAAGTTGAATATACCGTCAAACCCGGGAGCCTTCATGTTCTTGGTGCATTTCAACGCTGAGCAAATATGTCGTACTGTAACCATATCCGCCGGAGGCACGACACAAGGGGGATGGTGGGAGCGATCTGGCAGTCATTTTATGGACGCTGCTCTTCGCCTTCCCTCATTCTAGCGTTACTCTAAGCTCCGATCAACTCGCCGAAATGGAAACCGTCGGTTGAGCATGCGCAGTGCGAGTTTGATTTTTGCATGGGCTGGAAAGTGATGACCGTGCGAGAGAATGTAGATTCTTGCCTTCCATCTGCTCTTCTGATTGCTTCACGAAATATTCCTATTTGGTTCGTTAAATTTCTTAATATTAATTCATATTGCATGACATATTTCTCATTAATGGTTTTGATAAATATGCGTTTGAAAACACCCTCCATTTTCGTTACATGCCACATTTTCAATTTCGTAATGTGATAGTACAGTAAAGAAAGATGTAGTCTTACGTCAAAAACCTTTATCAAAATCTCATTAATTTTTTCGTCAATGACAAAGATTCACGTAGTAACAAAAAATGTAATTTCGTGCACCACTCTGAGTCACATTGTTCACTTTAACGGCTCCATGTAATTGTTTTGGTGAAGTCATTTAATTTAGTTTAAAATTTATCTAATAATAAAATCTGCTGCCAACAGCGGAAAAAAATAATATTTTGGGCTGAACATTTAAGAAAATAAAGCTGAAATGTTGCTTAATAACATACTGAAAACCCGAAGTGATTGCATTCATTCTAATGTTCTAAAGAAATTAACAAAACATACCCCTTTTGTAGAGATCTCAACAGGTGTCCCCCCTTAATGGATTCTGATTGAATTTTCAGTTTAATGGTGAATCGAAACGTTTTCAGTCTTTGGACATGACCTTCTGCATGGGATATACATTTGTAACATCTTCCGTTCAGCGCAAAAAGTTTTACGATCAACTAAAACTAGCCCTGATGAAGATCCCCTATCGAAGATATTCAAAAGTCTAGATTTTTTAGAAGTTTTCTATGCATCTCTGAAGTTATTGGTACTGCCCTAAAGAGCTCTAAACTCCAACAAATGTCTCAAGACTTCCCGGAATTTATCAGAATATTTTAAAAGTTCCCGTAATTTTCCTAAAGTTCATTTATCTATCCAAAAGTTCCTAACATTTTCTAATTTTTTCGAAGCTTAAGGTCATGGAACATCCCTTAAAATCTCTAACCTTCTCTGAACTTCTCTGGACTTACCGAAAGTTTTCGTTCCTCCCTGATAATCTTCTTCTTCGTCTTCTTCTTCTTCGCATTTCAAGCTTTTTGCATATCGCATATTAGCTTATTGCGTGCTTTCAACTTAGTGTCCTCAATGCACTTCCACAGTTATTAATTGAGAGCTTTCGATGCCTGTACCATTTTTGCATTGGTATAATTGTGTGGCAAGTCCAATCATACTTCTATGCCCAGGGAAGTCGAGAAATTTTCCAACCCGAAAAATTCCTAGACCGGACTGGGAATTGAACCCAGCCACCTCCAGCATGGTCTTGCTTTGTAGCTGCGCCTTTACCGACTGAGCTAAGGGAGGCCCCCCTGATAATGTTCCTCCCTGATAATGTTCCCTATATTATCAAGAAGCTCTCAGAAGGGCTTTAACGTTCGAACAATTTTCCTGGTATTGATGGGATCTCCCTCAATACCCCAAAATATTCCTGAAATTTTTTAATGATTCCTGAGATTTTAGAGTTATCTATAATTTTTCAAAAAATTCTTGAAAGTTACAGCAATTAATTGAAGCAACTCTCTGATCATCCTTCAAATACTCTGAGCATTAAAAAAAAAACAATTAAAGTGCCAAAAAATCTAAAAACGTCTTGAAAGCTCTCAGGACTTCTCTGAAGATCTGAAATCTTTTCAGACGTATTTAGAAATTCCCTGAGTTTCCAGTTACGTTAACTGAGGTTTTATCTGATCTTCTCTGATGTTCTTGAAGCTACCCGGAATTTCGTACAGTTCTCATAAAATTCTTAACCTGAAGTTTTTCCCGGAACGTTTCTGGACTTCTGTTATGTTTCTAAAATATGTATGAAGTTTTCTAAATTTCTCAGGAGTTCTATGGACTTAATTTTCTCGAAATTCTCCTAGAATTTATGGGATAACTGAATTCATAGAAATTGTCCTTAACAGATCTTTAAACATCCCCAAAAGTCTGGACGTTCCTGAAGTTATTGGGACTGCCCTTAAGATCTCTGAGCTTGTCTGACGATCTGAAGAACTAGCTTGTCTGAGGTTCATGGAATTACTTTAAAATGGAACTACCTTGAAGTTCTCAAAGCTTCCCTGAAGTGCCCAACATTTTATAGAAGATTTCTGTCTATGATGTTTTTTTTCTCCAAAATCCCAAGTATTTTCTTTCATTCCTCGGATCTTCTTTAAAGGCCTTAAAATATATCCTACAATCCATCCTGAAGTTTTCGTTATCCTTCTGATGATGTTTCTGGAACTGCTCGGTCCGAAAAATCTCTTAACATCCCGACGTTTTTTACAGTTCCATGAATTTATAGGAGCTTTGGTGAAGTTTCTGAAATATTTACTGAATTATTTGAACCACTCGATGTTCCTCAAAAGATGAATAATCTTTTGGACTTCTTGAAATCTCTCGCAATTTTTTTTAATGTTGACTGCCTTAAAATTCTCGAAATTTATTTGAAGCTCTCGGAACTTTTCTGAAGTTCCCGCTATTTTCCTATTATTAATGGAAATATTTTCAAGTTCTCAGAACAGCCACAAAGTTCACGTAGCTTCCCTTAAAATCTTATAACCGATTCCTGCAATTTTCCTGAGTTTAATGGAACAGTTCTTGAAATTTGCGTGCAATTTATCGAAAAGCCCTGAGACCATTGGAACCTAATATTGAAACTTTCTAGGAAGTTCTGGACGTTTTTGAAGTTCTCAGAGCTATCCCGAAGTCATCTGAAGATCCTTGAAATTCTTGGAATTATCATGAAATTCTCAAAACTATGTTTCCTGCAATTTTTGTGATGTTAAGGACAAGTTTGAAGATCCGAAAAAAACAGCGTTTTGATTTTCCTAAAAATATTGGAAAAGGTATAGAATACCTTAACAAATATTTTTTTTTTAATTTTTCTAAAGAAAATTTACGTGTAAAGGCATTTTTTTCTATTTCATCATGACACATAGCTGAACTAAAAAACCCGAAAAAAATAATAAAATAATCAATGTTTTCATTCGCAGAAATGTTTCCTTCTGTTAAACAAGTTGTGCTGATTTAAGAAATTTTCAATTAATAAATATTTTTGATTTATAGGAATGATTCCTTCTTTAAACATGTTCTTTCATCATGATTAAAATTTGGCAAAATTACCCATTCGGCGAAATGACTCATTCGGCGAAATGACTCATTCGGCGAAATGACTCATTCGGTGAAATTACTCATTAGGCGAGATTACTCATTCGGCGAAATGACACAGCCCCACGCATTTGACCACAAACGTTTGGTTGCTGGGTACATTATCAAAGAGCTTTGGGGGTGATGTGGCTGGCAGTAAGGTGAGCGAACGTTCAATAAAAATTAAGTCTTAAGCATCAATAATTTATGGTGGTCCTGAAAAGAACCGTTTTGTCGTGATGGTTGAGTAATGCTGAGCTATTAGGGTGTTCAACACAGATGAGGCTGGTGAGCTGTTTGTTGTTTGGAACGAGGGTGACGCGCTTGGCATAGATGGCCCACAGCGGCTTCTTCCTCCTTCTTCGGTGAATCGAGGGCTCTTGAGGGCAGCCTTGATAGCTAGCTGCTTGCCGACAGCCTTTCGTTGTGTACTGGAGAAAAATGTGCAACGCCACGCGCCGAAAGCACTGCTGCTGCTGCTGATGCTGATGACGACTGACCGGACATCACGATCAGTGCTGTAAATTCTCAAAATCATTTGAACATTTTTGATGAAAATGAGAAAAGTAGCTATTCGCTATCAAACGGGACCTCCTCCGAATGGGTGATATCAGTTGCTTAGTCATTTGACGAAGGCATGGATCATTCTCATTTGAGAAACGCTATATATCATTCAATTGAGTGTAACCTACACACAAACGGAGCTCTGGTCGACATTCCGGCGAAAAAGCTAAGCCAACCCGACACCAACCTGACTTCTATCAAACCCCAACCCGATGTTGACCCGACATTGACCCGACATAAACTAAAAATTGACCCGACAACAACACGACATTGGGTCGACATCGACCTTAAATTAGCCTTACATTGATCCGACATCGGGTCGACTTGTCTGTTCGGGACCATTTTGCTGGATTTCTTCCATACTCCACTGTCTTATATCAAATGATACTGAGTGACTCAATTGACAGTGACAATGAGCTTCGAATGAGAAAGGGGCTCTTCAAATTATGGTCATGTGAGAATTCGTTTACACAGAATTGATTGAATGGTTGTAGTGGTTCATCTTCAATCGAATGATATGAAAATTTACAGCACTGAATCACGATACACAGTGATTGAATAAGCACCGTTCGGTAAGACCAGATGGAATTCGATTTTGAAATCTGTGTTAGGGAAAGCGCTTTTTGCAGGCAATCGGTGATAAATTTGATCACCATTGGAACAGTTGGAAATTTGTGTAATTTTCAATAGTGACCTACTGAAAATTGATAAAGTGTTCATTTTAGCAGATTCGTAGAATAATTTCCCATCGATTAACTTGTTTAGAATTAAAATCCATCCGCTATTGACAGAGTTATAAGTGGTCAAAACCTGACCACTTTTCGTAACGCGGTCGATTTTGGTTTTTTTTTTAAATTGCACCCCCAATATGTTGCCGAAAGACGGAATCCTACGTAAAAAAATTGGTGGTTTTAGATTTTTAAATATTTTTTTCAATATTTTTAGAAATATCAAAAAGTTTTTTTTTCGGGCGGTAAGCTTTCTCTAAATGGAACTATAATAAAAGTTTTCAAAATTTTCCAGAAATTTTCGAAAATTCATTAAAGATTCCATAATTTTCCTGACGTCCATGACACTACCAAATTATTTGAAGTTTTCTGGATATTGTTCTTGGAGCATCCGTAAAGTTTCAGTAGCTTTTTTTAATTCATTGAACGGCTGTTTCACTTTATGTTCCATAGTGTTTTTTCACTTTCACTCCTGTTCTGTGCAGCTTGTTGGCTCACGGCGTTTTATAGAATATTTCAAAATCAATACTGACAGTGCTACTAAAAATATTTCAAAATATATTTGACATCAATAATTGAAATTAATCCTGATGAATGTGGGCGTCTTAGTGGAATACCTGTATAAAGAGAGAGAGAGAGAGAGAGAGATTAGTAATTTCCATTTAATTCCACTACCTTATTTGCTTATCCTTGACAGATACTCGTATTTCGTCTACAATGTGCAGACTTCTTCAGTGTCTTGTACTAATAAGTCGAGTATTAGTACAAGACACTGAAGAAGTCTGCACATTGTAGACGAAATACGTGTATCTGTCAAGGATAAGTAAATAAGGTAGTGGAATTAAATGGAAATTACTAATCCTTCTCTCTCTCTCTCGTTATAATTGAAATTAACTTTAGCGGTATTTCCACATACCAGTACCGGTATTTCAGTACCAGAAAATCACCAGGTATAACTAGTAAAACGGGTACCGGTACTACCACCCTACTGATCTCATTCCTTAATTGATCTGTTAAAATTTTGCTGAAATTTGTCTCTGTTTTTGTTCATATTTTTCGGTCATTTCAAATTTCAAATTCCACTTTCGTTCTGTATTTGTCCTTTCCACCCGGTTCTACTGACCTCCACCCCCCCCAGACCCACTCACCTGCTTGGTCAGCACAAAGTATGCGTACGCGGCCATCGCCGTCCCGTATGTGACAAAGTACGTCACCGGTTCCATGATATCCCAGGAGTACTCCCACCAGGTTAGCCGTGCCAGCACCCCGAACTGCACCGACATCAAACCCAGCCCGACCCAGGTCAGGACGCTCGTCCGACGCACTGCCTTCTGGTCCAGTTCGATCTTTTTCTAAAAGTGAAAAAATTTAACCTCACCATTCACATTCGTTTAAACCATCCGCCAACGCTTACCACTTCCATTGGGCTCAGCTTCTCGTTGAGCTCCTCCAGTTTGCTATTCAGTTCTCGCTCTTTCCTAATTTGGTGTTCGCTTACGTTCAGGGCTTCGTACAGCTGTGAGGCGGGGGAGGGAAAACAAATAATGAAAAAAGTGTCAACCGAAAATTTTTACAGAAACAGCGTCACTAGAGAGACGGAGTTAATTTGCACTAAATTAAAACTTTGGTGTACAATTTCGGGCTTCCTGCAATCTGAAAATGATGAGCTCGTTTCGTTTGTCATTTCTTGCGAACTAGGATATGACACCAGCGGAGGAAAGTTTTTTTTTTGTCGATACCGTCTCGCTCACCCTATTCTCACTTTGCGCGTCTTACGCTGAGATGTAATTGCAAACATAATTCCGAGTGAAACAGACAGTGCGTGGGGGGCCTAATCCTCTGGTCTGTGTTTACGGAAGCGAAGAGGAGGGAAAATGCTAATTTTAATTTCTGGGAAGGGAATTCATTAACAGAACGAAACATGCTGCCGACGGTTGGTTCGGTTGAAATGGGGGTATTTATGAAATTGTGACAGCTGAAGAAATTTTGGCCTTGATTTGCGAGTTGGAAAGAGTTTGGTGACCATAAGACGGGAAATTCATGGCCACGGACCGGTACTTGACAGCCTGACAGGATGATTAGAAAACCGGAGTAGCGTGTTGGAACTTTCAGGGTGGATATTATTGTTATTTAATTATCAAATGACAGTTGGGGAATAATCTGAGTGAACGGCAATCTATGTTAGGATAAACAGCAACTGAGCATTTCCAGGGCAAATATAAAAAAAAACTTCTCCGATTTGCATGAAAGTCTGCATGATTGATTGTAATTTGAATTCTGTGAAAGTGATTTGAATCTTGAAGGAATATTCAAAATGGCGTATTCGATATTTTTTAACAAATCATAGCTCGAAATCTTCACTTCCAATCGCAATTACGTCTGAGACAAAGTTGAAGGAAAAAAAAGATATCTTTTCAGGAAAAATATACCCGGTAAAAAATTTAAGTAATTTTGTGTAAAAAATCAAAAAAATGTTTACAACTTAAACAACAAAAAATGATTCTCTTTAACATTTTTTGAATATTTTTTCAATAAAAAAGCTCATGTAAAATGATAACTTCTGCGAAATATTCAAGATGGACTTTTAAGTGCTTTAATGAAAATCATAGATTCAAAATGGCTCAAATGTGAACGATTGACCATAGCAAATAATCATTCAAACTTGCATGCAAATCAGAGAACGTCGAGTCTGATCGATTCGTCATTTGGCGGGAAACTGCTCAACTCGTTCTTAGTCAGAAAAAGTTCTCCAATTCGCATTCGGTTATTGATTTTCGTGGGAAAAGAAAGCTCACCTAATTCTCGCTTCAATCAAACCGTGATTAACAGACGTCTTATGAGAATTATGAAGGATTGATTTTACAGTGAGAACTCTTCCACATGAATAGAAAAAAAATCTCTCAATCGCCAACTATGAGAAATTGACGATCTCATCACATCGTTAGATACTTCTCATTTAATGTATAGTACCTTCTGACTCGTGAGTATGCATAAATAACAGGCATAGGCCACTTAAAATGATGATAAGAAATGAATGCAACTTTCTCACACACTGATGAAAATGTCTTCCGTATGAGCGAGGAATATTTCACTCGAATGCCCAAAGCACTCTAAAGGTAAATTTTAATACTTCATACATAATTCATCCAGAATGACACTTCTTAATGACGGAATACCATGCAAATTGCACTGAATCAAGCAAACTTTACCTGTGCCACCAGTGCTTGCACGTCGCCTAGTCTAGTGAGTTCTTCTGAGGTAATTCTATCACGTTTCGGTGGTCTCACGTAGTATTGTCTGTCGTTGAGGTGCAACCTGAAATCGGAAAGAGAAAGAAAGGAAACACGCGATAAAAATTGTATCAAAACAGTTTAGAAAACACCATGATGAAGTCTTTAAATTCCGAACCCATTACCCAAAATAAGTCTCGTTAGAATCAAACCCATTCCCACCACCAGACCCGATGCTGTCGCCATCAAGCGCACGAAACATCACGGGGAACTAGTTTGCATAATTCTACGATTGTTACTAATTTCCCGCTGATTTTGCCAACAACCACCACTCTATCAGGAACAGAAACGGTGGCGCACGAAGTCAGCGAGTCATTTCTCAAATTTTGTAACTACTTTTCACAACACTGGCAGAACAAGAACTTTGTTACACCCTCCCAAAAGTGACTCTCAATGAGGAGCGAAGTTGGCGTGATTTGCATGAAATGGGGTTACTCGAGGGAAATGGTTAGTGCTTTCGCTAACTATACTACCTGGCACGTTTGTACCGTCGAGTCTGGTTGGGGAATAGTGGTGAAAGTTTATTGTCGGAAAAACTTTACGTTTACCACCTAGTATCAACATAGAGAGCCGGTGAATATTGAACTACACGTGAGTTTTTTTTCCAGTTTTGCTAGCATTCATTGTTTGAGTTGAAGCTGAAATTGATTTAACGCTAGGTCGAAATGTTTGGTTCTGATTTTTTAAAGACGAAACACTGGACCATTTTCAAAATCCCAGAATGTGAAGCAAAAAAAATCCCAGTTTCAAAAGTTTATCAATTTTATTTATTCAACCCTCTACTTCCCAAGTCCGCCTTTTAGCGGGGTGGATTTGAAGAGCTGTGCCAAAAAACAATCAAACTTAACAACAAACCATAACGAAAGATGATCGTTTTTTTAATTACTATATTTAAGAGATTTTCAACCGAACGTTGGTTCATCATTGTAGCCCGACGAAGTGAATGTAGTCAAATGGAATCGATTTGTGGTCGTGATTAAAAATAGAAAAAGTAGTATCTCACTGATGTGAAGGAGCCTTCTTCAGTGGTATTTAGCTCAGTAACGGGCTCCACTAGGCCACCGAGCCCCTCATATTGCTAAACTTTTTTTTCCCAATTCACAGTAAGTTCCAAACCCGTAATGAACTAGGCTTAAAAGTAGTATTAAAAAATATATATTACAAAATGGTTGTGTATTGTATTAGCGCGTGGTCCCAAAAGGGTTAATTTTTTAATAAAAGAATTATTGTGCAATTTATTTGAGCTATGTTAATTCAAAACCTAAACAATTCTTTGTAAATAGTTAATTTATTTAACTTATGTTTCAAAGGTCTTTGCATCTTATGGGACTGTTGTTGGGGCAACAAATATCCTAGTCGGTTAAGGCACAATATTACCAAGCCAGAGCTGCGAATTCGATTCCCGGTCCGATCTAGGAAATCTATCGGGTTGGAAATTTTGCCGACTTCCCTGGGCATAGAGTATCATCGTGTTTGCTACACAATTACAATCTCATGGATTGGTTGGCATAGGAAGCTTTCAATTAATTACTGTAGAAGTTATACCAAGAACAGTTGAGATCAGGCGAAAACCCGTCAAAAGTGTCAAAGCTAGGTAGAGCTAGAGGGTTGTTAATAAGCTACTTAGACCGTTTTAGACCCCCCCCCCCTTAACTGCGTAGACATTCGTTCATACTTGTGTATGTGTATGTGTATGTGTATGCAGTGTAGACACACGCCAAACCCCTCTAAAGTGACTATGTGGTTTATGAACAGCCCCTTAAAACGAATTTTAAATATTGTCGAAAATTAAATGAGAATTCTTGATTTGCTACATTTTGAAAATGCAACTATCTTACGTAAGCTTATTTAAAATATATTGTTACAACATGATTTTCCTGGTAATTTCTTTTTGAATAGTGGCATTCTTCCAAATTCCATCCCAACTCTTTCGCGGATTTACACGATTTCTTGGTAGAGTTCACCATGAACTAATTTATGAGTATAAGGCCGGAACAAATCACAAGTTTTTCTTTTGTCGCTCGATGCTCGCTCCAGTCGAGGGAAGGGGGGGGGATAAAAAATAAACAAAAAATAAATAAAACATTCAAAAATCATTTAATCTAATCACATCCAAACCGTATATTTCAAGCGTTTACATCACTTCTTAGCCTTTGCTTTAGTCTTATAGGGGAAATGACGGCTTCGGCATGACAGACTATTTTCGGCAACACAAATTGAAATACTATTTTCACTGGATTTTCTTACGAAAACACTTCACTGAATGCATGCAAACGATTCTTTATGCTTTCAGCTTCAATTTGACTATATTTTTACCACTGAGAAAAAGCAATCTAGCAAGGTTTTCTTGAAATGAAACACACGCACTACAAATTGTAGCTGATTTCGAGTTGCCGATAATAGAACAGCAGATTTACATGCAGTTCAAATGGAACGGTTGCCGAAGAAAAACTGGTTGCCGACAATACTCGCTCTAGAGAAGATTGGAGCTTTGTAAAAGCGTTTCAAAACAGTTTTTGACAATTCTTTCGACTGAAATTGTTAGAGCAGCTGGCAGCAAAAGATTGTAAACAAACCAATACTGCATATGTGTGCGTTCCTTAGAGAAAAAGGCTATAGAAAGAAGGTCGCTGCTTAGGTTTCCGAGAATACGTAAATTCCCCTACTTCTTTGAAGCCGTGATTTTCGATAATAATGCATAAACAGAACCCACAAATGTTGACTTTAATATGTGCAACACTCGGGTTGTCAACAAGACATTTCGCGCATAAGTGTGATTTTTTGGGTTTTGATAAATTACGGGTGAACCATCGAGCGGAATACCACAAACGTAATAGCTCTTATAAAAAAAAACGTTCCAATTTCGATAGTTTCTCCTTATTCAAATATAACATGGCAGAACAGGAAAACCAAATTGATATGAAAATACCTTCTTTGTGAATTTAAACTCAGTGTTCTCAACAATTGCGCGTGCTTCAAAAAATCTTACTAGACGTATGGATTCAGGAAGCTAAATTCAACAAAATACAAGCCTAATATTCCGAGGAAGGAGCCAAAATCCATCTTAGCTGAACTTAAAAACCAAATTTTAACAAAAATACGTTTTTTTTGTCAATTTAAACCTGGCTTTGTGTGTGGTTAAAAAAATAATAAATATATATATATATATATATATATATATATATATATATATATATATATATAATAATGAATTCAGCAAGGACCATAACTCAGCAAGGACCAAAATCCAACTTAGCAGAAAAGGAAAACCAAATTTCGAAAAATATACTTTTCGAATTACAAACCTGGTTCAACCTTCACGTAGGGATTCAGCAAGGTCCAGTCAATAAAATATGTACAAGCTTATTTTTCAAAGATATGAGCCAAAATGCAATTTAGCAGAACAGAAAAACCAAATTTCTTTGAAAATACGTATGAATTTAGCAATTCTATAAAATCCACGACTATTTCCAAAGGAAGGCGCTGAAATTCAACTTGGCAAAACAGCTGGCTGCATGCTTAAAAAATGCACCATAACGTGTTTATTCAGCAAGGTCCAGCTTATAAAATCTAAGCCTATTTTTCAAAGGACGGAATCAAAATACAACTTAGCTGAACAGAAAACCCGAACTTCCATCAAAATATGTATGTTTTGTGAATTTAAACTCAGTTTTCACAAAAATTCAAAAATTTAAACCTGACGTATGGATTCAACAAGGTCCATTCTTTAAAATCCAAGTCTATTTTTCAAATATCGGAGCCGAAATTCAACTTGGCAGAACAAAAAGTCAAAGTTTCTATGAAAATACGTACTTTTGTGAATTTAAACTCGGTTTTCTCAAAAAATTATAAATTCAACCCTCACGCATGGATTCAACAAGTTCTATTCTATAAAATACAAGCCTAGTTTTCAAAGATAGGAGCCTAAATTCAGTTCGGGAGAACAGATAAATCAAATTTCTATAAAAAATACCTACTTTTGTGAATATTAACCAGGTTGGTCTTCACGTACGGATTCAGTAAGTTCCATTCTATAAAATCAAAGCACAAATGTCAAACTATAGAACCGAAATCCAACCTGACTTCAAAAAAAATTACCATCACCTACGAACTCTCAAAGGTCTATTCTATAAAATCCAAGCCTGTTTTTCAAAGGACGGACCCAAAATCCAACTTGGCTGATCAAGAAACCCACATTTCTATAAAAATACATACTTTTTTTGATGTAAACCCAGTTTTCTCAACAATTGTGCTTGCTTAAAAAAAAAAATCTACCATCAGGTATGAACACACGAAGATCCATTCTTTAAAATCTAAGCCTAATTTTCAAAGGAGATGAATCTCTCAAGAGCGATGAAGAGGTCTAGGGGAGCGTAATCTATGTTAAAAGTTAGTTAAATCACTTCAGGAAAGCGCAGACTAACATTAAATATAATTCAATCACTCAACAGAAAAGTTTGGACTCTCTAAGGAAAGTATTGAACCACTTCTGAATAAGTTGGAGTTCGTTTGGAAATTTTAAGCTCAAAAAAGTGTTGGTAATTGCATAATAGGAACGTATGGCCATAAGTGGTGCACTCACCCTGGCTCACCTCGAAAAACTTTCTATACTTTTAGGAAAGCTAGATGACCTAAACAAGATTGTCTCCTTGCCAAATGCCACAGCGGTTAACACAAATTTGGAGCTCACTTAGGAAAATGTCAAACCCGTTTGGTCAAAGTTTGGATTCAGTTCGGAAAAAGTTGAATCAATGCAGGAAACCTTGGAATCATTTAGGAAAGAGATTAAATCACCTAATGTGGCCTTACTTAAGAAAATGCGACAAAAGAAAAGCTTACAGATCAATCTCGACGACTTCTATTTCTGCATGTCAACACATTTGACTCTCCTTTCTCTTATCCTTCATCGACTCTTCTATGTTAAGAATCAACTTAGTTCTAATTTGTTTTCGATAGATTTCAATCGACTCGCATAAGTGATGAATTATTAAATATAACATATACATTTAAATACATATACAAAAA